ATCTCCTCCAACAGTTGAGTGAGACTTAATGACAGATTGAGTTGAAAGATCTGCTATTTGAACTGAAAGGCAGATGATAGATAAGTTAGATGTAATTCCTTTAAAGAAATGTAATCCCGCTTTCTTTGTGAAAACGAGCGACACGAGAGGTATTTAAAATATATTCAAAAACCATTTCTAAATGTAATTTTCTTGTAATATTCAACCACTATTACATTTATAAAACTGTAAAGAATGACAGGCAAGAGATAAATGAAATATTGCGAGTGTTTCTTACCCACTTAAATACCCCTGAGATTCTATCAATTCTTTACAAATATTTCAGAATGGAAAATGTGGTATTATAATATTTAAGGCAATATTGGTGTTTTATTGACATCATCGCTTTTGGTTTCAAATTATGTCGTAGATAATTCTTATCCAATATAAAGAAATCGAATAACCTGAGTGTGTCCGGCCGTAATTGCGTCGGACACTTCCAGTTAGATCCCTTCACCGCTTAGGGCAAGCGAGGTGTCATTCGACGCGGCGCGATCTGTTGTTCTGAAACCGTCTATTTTGTTCTAGGATCCTTTCAGAATACACTAAGAGAATTCTAAAACACACACGTTTTTTGGAGGTTATTAGCATCCGAAACGCATTTTAGAGATTTTGAAACGCCTACAGGTGCGAATAATGTCTCATTTGATTCCTCTCAAAAATACAAACTAATTTGTTTTTAGTCCTACGCTTCACGAATATTCTGGAATACTGATTTTAGAAAAATACGTTGTTTTGGGGATCGCAAGACCGACGAGAGCAAATGCTATGGCTTTCGATACGGTCTTTCCGGCCCAATAACAATCGTTACGGCTTACGTCATAAGATTGACAATAATTTGACGTCTGTAACTTACCCTTAGACTCACCCGGTCAGCCCAGATCATAACAATAATTAAATCTAATTTGATGATAAAACATAAAAATAAGTATGTTTACACACTTTTTTCCCTATCTACGCCCGAGGATGCAGAAGGCAAACAAATATTTGCTGTTTAAAATTACTTTTCGTTGGGAACTTGCTCGACAATATTCAAAGTTTTTTAAAATGAACATTTTCGACGGAGGCGTCACGATATGCCAGTTCTTAGTTAGTGAATGGTGAAAAATCAAGAGCATCTTCGTTTTCAAATATTTTGAAATGAATAGGATCTACAAACATATAATTGAAATAGTGTATACATCCGAAAAAATTATCTGGATGACTTCTATTAATGGTCAGAAAATCTAGATATTCCAGAATCATAAAATATTTCATATTATTATTTTATACAAAACCATAATGCCTTGTAAATACTATATTAACATATTTTTAAAACATTTATAATTTAAATTGTTAAAATGGAATGCGCATTTCACCAAAAATTTATTTCCGAAAGGAAGTTAATTCATGTAATCTATTCAATATTTTACATATTTCTTGTGTCATCAGTCATGTTATTAATTTTTTAATAATATATACTTGTGATTTTTTGCGACTTTTATATAAATGTTGTTATTCAAACTCATTTGTTTTAACGTATTAATATTAATAATAATCTGTTGTTTTTAGGGACGGTGTCCTTTCAGCTAATTCAAACTAAATGAACACCAAATTAATAGCAAAAGCTACACATAGTTAATTCAAAATTCTTTCGTACTGAAACAAAAGTAATGTGATTCGTATTTAATCTTCTTTCATTTGTGAAAGAAAAACTCACTTTTTCATGTTCCACTCAGGATTTTTAAGAATTTTTCAGAATACTTTTCAGTGTTCAGTAATGGGTAGTGTTCTGATAATACACGGTACGGTGAAGAGAGCTTTTCTCCTGGTAATTTGTAAAGATTTTCTTTGACATTGCTTGCAGATCTGGCAAAGGAAATAGGATTCTCAACTTTTCAGGTCGTTCCACATTTTCCTTGAAATATTATTCTACGGAAAATACTGTTAAATATTCGGAATACAGTAAATACGAATGTTTTTCGAGAGCATTTTCTGAAGGCGTTAGAACAAGTACATTTATTAGGAATGCAATACGTAACAAAGTTTTACCTCTTACAAATTCAAATCTATTCGTTGTAATTGCATATATGAATTCTAAAAAAAAAATTTCGAAGTAGTCTCAATACTGTAAGTAATAAGGAAAAGGAAAGAAAAATGTAGCTTGAAAAATAATCGTGCAGAAAGAGAAAACAAATAATGTAAAAATAGACTCGAATGGAAAAGAAAAAAATACGGAAGACATATCGCCTAGAGAGGAGATAAATACGAATGCATGATTAATTAGATCGCTGGTGAGATAGATGCCTTTTTATTATGATAAATAAATAAAGATATTGTCTGGTATCAATACTTTTTATTCAGCTTATGATCTTTACGATCGCATAGCAATCATCCTCAGAGCTTGCAGCTTCCGGGCCGGGCAGAACTTTGTTTTCGGCCCGGAAGCTGCAAGCTCTGAGGGTGATCGCTATGCGATCGAAACGATCATATGCTGAATAAAAAGTATTGATACCAGACAACGTCTTTATTTATTTATCATAAGAATGAATGAGTATTCGGTGTAAGGAAGAGTAAGTACTAATCACAGCCCCGCGAGAAGAGAATAAAGAAGACGCGCCTCGAAGAACGGATAGCAGCCGGTCATCCCCTTTGAAGCCAGATTTGCGCCTGCCTTTGCGGGCGCCGCACGGAGCGGGCCGGGGCGGACGCCTGAGGCGGCGAAGGTGGGCTCGCGAGCGGTGGCGGGGAGGGGGGTGAGGGTCCCTTGACGCGGAGGCGCGTCGACACATCTGGCGGCGCTCCGTGTGTGAACTTCGCCCGCAGCGGCCCCATGCCGCACCGCCCGCCCGCCCGCGTCAAACGCGCCACTTTGCGACGGAAAACTTACACGGCCCGCCGCGCCGCGCCGCGCCGCGCCCGCCGCCGCCGCCTCTGCTTTTTTGTGGCCTCCGCGAACTCCCTCATGTGAGGCGAGGCGAGGGCCCGCCCTCCTACGCCTTCTGCTTGCAGGGTGCAGGCTTCCTCTGATCTCTATCACACACGCGTTTCACGTGCAGCTGTAATTTAAGGTAGCGTTTTACGGAGGTGGGTTCTTTTCCGTACGGACACTTCATTCTAATATTAACTTGAAAAGAGTCCTTAAAAACTATTTAAGAAAAAAACATTTACTACAGGAAACGCTGTTAAACTATGTTTTATTCAGCTTGAAAGTTTCAAATAAAATTCTTCGAATATTCTTCTGAATATTAGCTAAAATTAAGAATTTACGAAATATTTTTGAAATGCAATACCTCTAATTTATGAATGTGTACGTTTGTGTGTGAATGATCCAAACACTAGATTCCCTAGCATCGAGACTTGATGGATGATATAAAACATATATTAGAGAACAAAATGACCAGCGTCAAGAGAGAATGTCTGCTGTGTCATGAAACAACAATATTCGTTTTTCTAAGAGGTCATTTCCGTTGAAAAGTGTACTTCTTGCATTCTTGAGCACCCAATAATGATCATCTGCCGTGTTTACTTTTCGCCGAAACGAGACAACATTCTGGTGGAGAGCGATCCACCGTGACGGCCCTCCCCCGCGTGAACAGGAAGCTCTCGCTTAGCCCGTCGCGCCCCTCCCCTCGCCACGTGAGACGCTGTAATCGCCGGGCGGCGCACGTTGCGGCCATTGCGTCAGAATGCGCCGCTTCTTCCCCGCAGTGGCGCATCCCCTTCCCCTCCCGCTCCCCCCTCCCTCCCCTTCCCCTGGCCAGGAATCGCTAGCTCCGCGCCCCTGCCTCATCGCTCGTTGACCGGCCACAACGACTCAAACCGAAATCTCATAACATGAGTTAAAAGCGCTTGTACCTTTTTCTCTCTTCCCGTCTACAACGTCCTCAATTGTTATCTTAATTGTTGAAGTTCCTGCATTCTTTCGGAACGTGCCATTCATTTCGTTAGTCTCTTTTCGTTGGGAAAGTAAACTCCTACTCAATGATGAGACATTCTTGGACCGTGGATTGTAAGCAATACATTCAGTACCGTTTTCTGTCGTCTCTTTAAATTGTCAATGAGTAATTTAGGGTTAATATCCTAGCTAATATTGCTTCAAAACACATCTCTCTTCAAATTATATAATTCCTGAATTTCCTTTTGTTTTATCTGACGTCTTCACCTGCCCTTGGACCAGGCACTTGATTTTAAACCCATCACTTCATTCTCACTTTGTTGTTCCCGCTGACGTGTTTTGCATTCAAATATATACTCGTATACGTTTTTACTCTCTTATCCTTTTCGTAATGTACCTCTTTTTACCTTCGACACCAGTACGTTTTCCCACCAATCACACCTTACACCTGTATCAAGTTGTTAACCTTTCTTGAAGTAAAAGACCCTCTTCTTGTATTGTTTCTTGTACCACTATCAATTATTAACTTTGCTCGCGTATGATGCTGAATTGGCTAGTATCAGCGTACAAGATATCGCACGCATCCCTTCCAACCTCTCCTCACCGCACGCCGCCTTCTTCCACTGCCCGGCCGACGTAGCCACCCTTGCGGCCTGCGACCTCGTGCCCGGCCCTCGCGTGGCTCATCCCCTGCTGTGCCTGCGCAGCGCCGCTGCCGCGTCACGCCCCCGCTCGCGCCTGCCGATCCCGTTGCGGCCGGGTGCTCCGCGCGGCGCCGGGCGAGCACGCGGCCGCGTGCTGAGAGAGACGACCGAGTGCGTGCTCGGGCGCGGTGCTGTCCGCCGCCGGCGCGATGCCGCTTAGCGCCTAAGTTGGCCGCGCACGAAGCAGCGGGGCGGGCGTCCATAACAGATGACACCCGCAAATGGCTCGCCCCGCCCTCCGCCCCACGCCCACGCCCGCCGCTCGCCGCGCGCCCTCCGCCCCCGCTGCCCAGGCACCACGGCAAGCGGCGCGCCGGCAGCAGTAGAACGCATTGTACCTAACGAGTCCTTGTTCCGTGGCCGCCACTGGCTGCTTAGAGATGAGACAGTTGTGTGCAGGGGCGCCGCTGGCGGGGGCGGCTGATGGATGCGCTGGGGCGCACGCGGCGCTGAGAACGCCGCACGCGGCGCGCGCCGCCGCCCAATACACGCACGCCGAACCGTCGCGGCAGCCTCACGCTGGGTGGGGTTGGGCGGCGGCAAGACACCAACAAACACAACCCAATGTGGGATCATTCACGCAGCGAAGGATGCGAAGATCCCGGTTATATACAAGTAAGCTGGGGAATCCGGCTTGTGCCCGAAAATGGATTCCAGAACGGTACGTAATATAAGGCGTAAAATAATTAATGCGCAGTGTAATTTGTAACTACTGTGCTCATGAAATATTTCATATATTATAGATGATTATAACCATAATTATAAATATGTCAATGATTTTTTTTTAATTGGCCAAGCAGAAAACTACTGATATACCCACAAAATTAGTCACAGATTTACACTCAATTCATACGAAAATTTTAAACGCAATTTCATACCCAAGGACCCGATAGAAGATATGAGCTTAGACAACATTAATCAGTTGATACCAAATACGAAAAATAAATATGTTAGTTAGTTATATTTGTAAAAACAATTAATTTGTTCTAATTAATTTTCAATCCCTTTCCGTTATATTTCATAAGGACTATGTTTCATAGTGATACATTTCTAAGAATAGTTAAGCTTACTCAGATAAGCTATTAAAATAAAAATCACCGCGTACAGTTTTCGGTATTTCATAAAAATACAATTGGCATGCCTCCTGTCTGTGTGAGGTGTGCTCGGAAGGGAGTTGTGGGTACGGGCGCCGAGTGTTGGCGCTGATTGGAGGATCGAGGAGGGTTGGCCCGTAACCGATGGGGCGCAGTGTGGGTATGAGAGGGGTGACGATCAGTGCGTTGGGGGGAGTTGCACTGGCCTGAAATGGGCGAAAAGGAACGCTTTACAAACAACCAATCCAAACGACAATGGGGGGGCAGCTATACTACTTTAAAATATGCTATTTTTTAGATGAGTGAGCGAAAATGTTTTTTGGCAATAAGAAGAAGAAGAAGAAGCTGTGAGCCATTAATTATGAAATAGTGCAGGTTTTCAACTGCGTGCACACGTGAAATTAAAGTCAACAATAAATTTAGTAAACGAAGACAAACTTTTCTTTAAGAAGCGCTTGATAAAGAAAGTCATCCCAAAAATGGTTCAATTCATTTGAAGCGAACTTCATCTTCTGTTAAAAGAAATTTTACAGCGAGTGACGTTCGGGTAACTCTCGTCCTGAAACTAAAAGGTACAAAGTGAACAGATGTCTTGAAAATAATGCTACAAAGACGAACACACTAATCTTTCAAATTTTCGTTCGTTCCCTCGTTTCTCTACTTGTATGGGTCGGATTACTCGGTTGGAGCCCACGGGGTAGCTCACTGGTCAACTTTCCATGACGCGACCCCGGGTTCGATTACCGCTTGGGGATGATAATAGTGGGCGCTTCCTACAATGTTCCCAGTAAATTTAACGTGTTTACTTGTGACAAGAGAATGCTTCCTTCTCGGTGTGAAGAAGGACCAGAATACGGAGTAGGGTGTTATGTTCTAGCCACACATAGTAGCTCTTAACAACTGCCGCAAGGCTCGGGGCGGTGGCTGGTATGTCTTGACCATTAGAAGCTGTTATGCCACCAGTACAGACAGACAAAAAAATGCTTTGAAAATCAACGGAGAAATTCTCCTCGCGCGCTCGGCGCGCCTTTGCGCCCACTGTGCGGAAGGAAAGAGGGGTGCGAGGAGGAGGGGAGGGTTAGTGTAAATAATTTCGCGTAAATAGGCGTGGACGACTGGGAATGCTTACTTCTCAGACCGAGAAGACCCAGTAATTCCGCATAAGGGGTGTGTATGTACGCATACCCTTAACGCATTGCTGCAAGGCCGGGCAAGGTTCGTTGGTAGGCTTGCTTCTTAAGGAAGCTGTTGGCCAGTACGCTGTAAGCGAGTGTAGTGCTGATTGTGCCAGACCAAACACTCGCTTGGAAATCACGGAGGAAAACTCGCTTCGCGCGCTCGGCGCCCCTCGCGGCCCACTGTGCGAAGGATGGGATGGATGGCGAGGGGGAGGGGAGGGGGAGCGGGAGGGGTTCCGTGTAAGATAAACGCGCGCTGCAGAACAAAGGCGCCGCACGCCGCCGTGGGCGCGGCGTGGTTTTCCAGCGGCGTGTTGTTCTGGCCCCCGAGCATTACGCGGCTTACTCCGCGGGAGCTCCCAATTAAGTTGCCGCCTGCTTTCCGAGGGGGAATTCGGCAGCGCAAGTGACCAGCGCTGGCATGAGGAAGCTACTCACGTCGCAAACGTCCTGCGCGGCCCTTTGTTCGGATACAACATGTTCTTCATGTTTTTTCCTTCTTATTTTGGTACTACAAGCTCGTTTGTAATTTGTTTGTACTTTTCTTAGTGAAAATGCAAATTAACGGACGCTTTGTATTATAACCACGTGCCATGGTTACTATGCTGCTTCGGTTTAGGCTATTGACAAGAGAAAAAGGTTTTCCTTAATAATTTTCCATCTATTTTCCACTACGAAAGTCTTTAAAATTTAGTAGTATCAGAAAATACCTCGCTTACTATTTCTTAAATGTTCCTTCAAAAACCTTCAATTTTAATAACAAAAATATGAGAGGCTAAAAGATATTAAAATTCATTGAGATTTCATAAAAAAATCAAAATCCCGAACCGCCAAGATGAACGCTTGTAGGTGAATAACTATTTTTTTGTTTGATGTTTCTAGTAACTAGTTCTAGTTGTCTTATTTGGGGAGTAAATTTCGATTTGTTATGGAATGAATCGTTGACAAGATGCTCTTTATATGTAGGCCCTTTCAGAGGTGATTACATCTACGGCTCCGCGCAAGCGTAGGCAATGTCTGTATTTTGAGAACTAACATGCACTCGTTAGGCGGTTGATAAGGTTTTCCTTTCAACAAATAGTTCCACTTTTAAACGCTAAGTCACAAAGGTAAGTCATTCACTATATTTTCAACGACTTTTTTTCCCTTTTCATTAGATTAAGATACGTAATATGTTTCGCATGCAGATTCGCCAATGCATCTGGGCAAGATAGGTACAATTAGTACTTAAACTGTTTTTACTGGCGCAAATGAATAATATAACTTTGGGCAATTCAATGTTGAAATCTGCAAAGTGATACGCAAGGTTATCGATTACATTTATTTTTATTCTATAAATCACATTTAATCGCTTTGAAGTGTTTTAAATTACTGGACTAGGGAAATATTTTTTTAATTGAGTATAATTTGGTTACATTGCATCAAATTCACCCAACAGGTAGCAGGGAATTAATGGTGGTAAAAGGTCTCTGAATATTTTTTGGGTGTTTGTTTTATATGGATGGAAATCTAAATTCAAAGTAAGATTTATTAATGAATTTCTCCATTCATATTGCTAAATAGAAGTTGATAAGCACAGCATTTCATTGTCATAGAAACAGTAAATGTAATATCGAACTGATGTTTATTTTACGCTGTGATGAAATTTCCCGAAGTTCTTTTGATGAACTTCATATTGTTGTGTAAGCAAATTTGATAGTTGTACTATGTTAATATTTATTTATTTAACGTCACAAAACAGTTAAAATCTGTCTCACTTACTAACGGAAGAAGTGTATTCTGTGCGTAGGATCGTTTTTCTTAATTCTGGATCCTACCTTAACTCAATACAATCG